AGGCAAAGAAGAAACAAAGCTATCACTCTTTGCAGATGACATGATGATATACTTAGAGAATCCTAGAGAATCAAGTAAAAAACTACTTGAAATAATAAACAACTTTAGCAAGTTGCAGGCTATAAAATAAACCCACATAAATCATGCATTTCTATATATTACCAACAAAGCCCAACAGCAAGAGATAGAAAGAGAAATCCCATTTAAACTTACTGTAGACATTATAAAATATTTAGGAGTCTACCTCCCGAAACAAACCCAGGAACTCTATGAACACAATTACAAAACACTTTTCACACAAATAAATGATCTAAATAATTGGAAAAACAGTTGCTCATGGGTAGGCCAGCTAATATAATAAAAATGACAATCCTACCTAAGCTAATTTACTTATTCAGTGCCATACCAATCAAACTACCAAAAAATTATTTTATAGAGTTAGAAAAAATAATAACAAGATTCATTTGGAAAAACAAAAGGTCCAGAATATCAAGGAACTAATGAAAAGAAATGCAGGGAAGGTGGCCTAGCAATTCCAGATCTTAAATTGTATTATAAAGCAACATCAAAACTGCTTGGTACTGGCTAAGAAATAGGTGGATCAGTGGAATAGGTTAAATATGCAAGACACAGGTCAATTATAGTTCTATTATTTGATAAACCCAAAGACCCCAGCTTCTGGATAAGAACCCACTCTTTGAAAAAAACTGCTGGGAAAACTGGAAAAGAGTATGGCAGAAACTAGGCATAGACAAATCTCACACCATATACCAAAATAAAGTCAAAATGGGTTCATGATTAGATATAAAGGCTGATATAAGTAAACTGGGAGAACAAGGAATAGTTTACCTATCAGATCTATGGAGAACAGAAGAATTCATGACCAAAAGGAGATAGAGAACATTATGAAAAGCAAAATGGATAATTTTGATTACATTAAATTGAAAAGTTTTTGCACAAACAAAGCCAATGCAACTAAGATTAGAAGGAAGGTAGAAAATTGGGAAAGAATTTTTACAACCAGTCTCTGATAAGGCCTCATTTCTAAAATATAGAGAATTAAGACAAATTTATAAGAAACAAGCCATTCCCCAATTGATAAATGGTCAAAGGATATGAACAGGCAGTTCTCAGATGAAGAAATTAGAGCCATCTATAGTCATATGAAAAAATGCTCTAAATATTGATTAGAGAAATGCAAATCAAAACAACTCTGAGGTACCACATCACACCTATCAGATTGGCCAACATGACAAAACAGGAAAATGATAATGTGGAGAAGGTGGGAAAATTGGAACACTAATACATTGTTGGTGGAGTTGTGAAATGATCCAACCATTTTGGAGAACAATTTGGAACTATGCCCAAAGGGCTACAAAAACATGCATACCCTTTGACCCAGCAGTAGCACCTCTAGGGCTATATCCCAAAGAGATCAACAAATGGGAAAAGGACTCACATGTACAAAAATATTCATAGCAGCTGTTTTTGTGGTGGCAAAGAATTGGAAATTGAGAGGATGTCCATCAATTGGGGAATGGCTGAACAAGTTCTGTATGTAAATGTAACGGAATACTATTGCGCTATAAGAAATGATGAGCAGGCTGACTTCAGAAAAACCTGGAAAGACTTGTATGGTCTGATGCTGAGTGAAGTGAGAAGAACCAGGAGAACATTGTTAACACAGTAACAGCCATGTTGTGAGGTGACTAATATTGATAAACTTTACCCTTCCCAGCAATACAAGGATCTAAGACATCTCTGAAGACCTCGTGATGGAAAATGCTATCCACAGCCAAAGAAAGAACCATGGAATTTGAATGCAGATTGAAGCATACTATTTGCTATTTCTTTTACTTTTCTGTTGAGTTTTCTTTCCTCTTTCTCGTGGTTCCTCCAATTGGTTCAAATTTTTACTTACAACATCACAAATCTGAAAATATGTTTAATAAGAATGTATATATATATATATATATATAGCCTATATCAGACTGTGCACCATCTTGGGGAGGGTGGTAGGGAGGAAGAGGGAAAAAATTTTAAACTCAAAAGCATACAGAAGTGATTGTTGATAAGTCAAAATAAATTAATAAAAAAACCAAAAAATTTTCTTTTGTATTTGTATACCCTATGCTTAGCACAGTGTCTACCACACAGTAGGCACTTACTAAATGTTTATTGACTGACTGACTGGTAGTGCATCTCCCACATTTGTGACAAAAAGACTATATATTGATTCCTGATAAAGTGCCATTTTAGGAGGAACCGTGAAAGATTTGTCTGGGAATATGAGATGTTCTGTTATCTAACCTTTGGAACAGCCAACTGATCTTATCACTATGTACCTTTCCACTTTAGTGGACACAAATGTTTAGAATGCTTGGAAAGTATTGATAAATGTCCATGATTGTATACAAAGTGTGAAGATTGATGCACAATTTATTATTATCAACTATGATGCTATTCTTTACATCGATATCATTTGATGACACTTTGTAAATAATTCAATTTAGCTGTAGTTTCTTGTACTGGAGATCCCAGTGAGAATGGGGCCACGTTGCTATTTTACTGTAGAATCCAGAGTTGGGAGAGAAAGTAGATGGTTGTAAATGCTATGCTAGGGATTTTTAAAATGACTGTTGAAAAAACAGAAACAAAAACATGCTGCTTCCCAATACTCTTATTGTTGTTTTTTCATTCTACAAATCCCTTTTACCAAAACAAGTGTGTAATGAACTCCCAGGGTAATCTAATAGACTATCCATAATATTCTTCACCCATTCAATGTTTACAATAACTATAATGATAATTTCTGCCCCAAAGAGTTCCAAATTAAAATTTGTATAATATAATTTTAAACTATTAAATGTATTTTATGTATGATTATGAAATCTCTAAATATGAACCTATAAAACTAATTATAAAAAACTGAAAATATTTTACATTAGACATTTTGTAGGAATTAAAAGAAGTAAATCGGTGAGACCTCATATATTTAGTATACTCTGCAAGACTTCACATTAAATTTCACTTTACAAATTTTTGTTGACCATAAATAACATTTTAATAAAACAAGTTACATCTTGGAATACATTTAATATAATGCAATAATCACACATAAACTTAATTTTTACATTAGACTTTTTATTTGAACAAAGGTTTGCAGCATTTGACTCAATATCAGACAATCACACTCTTAATTGTAACTCAAAGTGGTTATTTTCTGTAGGAAGAGGCAGTGTGGTACCATAAAAAGACCACTGGATTAAAAGTCAGGGGACCTGGGTTTGAACCCTGTCTCCCCTCATCTGTGTGACTGTGGACAAGCCAGATTCCCACTCTGGGCCTCAGTTTCCTCAGTTGTACAACAAGACGGGACCCATGATGCTGTCATTCTGCAGTAGGATCTTCCCAGGGCTGCCAGATGAGGGCACCATCTGGTGCCTCCTATTCTTGCAGAACCATCAGAGTTAGGCTACTCAAGTAGCCAGAGCCGAAATGGACCTGAAGATCACGGGATCTCAGGGTCATCTAAGTCTGAGCCCAATGGGCTAAAGCTTTGTAAGGATCAGGCTCTGCAGTGTGATTGATGACAGAGGACCTTCCCAGAGTCCCAGGGACTCATTCCATTCATAGCATCACACACTATCAGGGGATACAGAACAGTCAGAGCTGGATAGAAGCTCAAAGACCACCAGGGGTCAATGTGGCACAGTGAAAAGAGCTCTGGATTTGGAAGAAAAGGTCTGAAGAAGGATTCAAATTCCATCTCTGTCACTCATTATGTGACCTTGGGCAAGTCATTCAACTTCCCTGGGTCTCTGTTTCCTCATCTGTGATGGGATAAATCTGATGGCCTTTGAGGCACCTTTCAGCACTAGATCTATGATACTATTAATTAATTAATTAATTAATTATTCCTATAGCCCAATCAAACAGAAATACTCTCTACTGCTTCCATATTGGTGGTTATTCAGCCTTCACTTGAAGACCCCTAGTGATGGGAAATTCACTACTTCATATAAGAACCTATTGTATTATAGAATATAATGCTAGAATAAATCACATGTGTTCCAGGCACTGTGTTAGTCACTGGGGATTCAAAGACAAAATCCAAACAGTCCCTTTTCTCAAGGGGCTTGCATCCTAGAAGGAAGTCATTTGATATCTCATTTTACAAGTGAAGAAATCGAGGCCAAGAAACCTGAAGGGACTTGACTAAGACAACACAGCATGCTGGGAGCCCAGAGCCCTTCTCCATGGGTGTAGGAGACTGCTCACAGTCCCTCACAGCACTGGCTCCAACAGAAATCCGAGACAGGCATTATCCATGGTCCTGAAATTTTCCGTGTATTGCAGGACTAAACATCAAAATGTTTAGAGTGAAAGCAGTGACTTGCTTGAGCTCTCCCTCAAACCCCCTCCAAATACCTAGAAAAAAATGGCACTAAACAAATTCTAAAGCAGCAGAATCCACAAAAAGACAGAGTGAAACAAATTTCCAGCCCAACACAACCTGAATGGTTGATCAGAAAGGTCTATCACGCCAGGCTGGAAGAAGAGTGCAGTTCAGTGTGGGTGTGTAGACCTAAGCAAACCTGGAGCAGGCCTCAGAGGACTGAATTGGGGGCAGCCATGGTGGTTTCCAGACCTCTCAACCCACAAACGCCAAAGACAACTTAGAAGGTCAGTGGGAAAAGTCTATTTCTGTGGTGAGAGAGAAGCTGGGTCTCAGCACCAGTTCCCAAGCATGGCTGCCGGGCAGTGGCTACTTCCTGAGCTTCCAGCCCACAGACTGAAGGGGAATTGGGTGGCTGATTAAAGGGGGATTGCAGGGATCTCTCTGCTGGTGCAGGATTCTCTTGCTTTGCCCATGCTTGGATCTGGGTCATAGTTCTGGGTGGCAGTCCTGGGGTGAGGAGGAGCACTGGTGGGGTGGAGCTTGTAGTAGCTGTGGAAAGGAAATCCTCCTCACAGTTCCAAGACAGAAAAGAATGCTTTTGGTCACTCATTGACCAGAGCACAGGCCAGGAAAGGAGGAAGCACCTCACCCCTTATCATACCACCTTGGAAGAACGGAAAATTTACAGGTCATTAGAAGTATCTCTGAAAACAGCTTTACAACCCCCTGAAGCTTGGGACAGTACATTCTCCACATTGGAAGCAAATCTCTACCTTAATAAAGAGTTCATAACTCAAGTAATTGACTGGGATCATGAGCAAGCTTCACAAGAAGTGTCAGACCATAGAATCTTTTTTTTGGTAACAAAGAAGATCAAAACATACAACCAGAAGAAGACAACAAAGTCAAAGCTCCTACATTCAAAGCCTTCAAAAAAAATATGAATCAGTCCCAGGTCTTGGAAGAGCTCAAAAAAGGATTTTGAGAAGCAAGTCAGAGAAGTAGAGGAAAAACTGGGAAGAGAAATGAGAGTGATGCAAGAAAACCATGAAAAACAAGTCAACAGCTTGCTAAAGGAGACCCCAAAAAATACTGAAGAAAATAACAGCTTAAAAAATAGCCTAACCTGAATGACAAAAGAGGTCCAAAAAAACCAATGAGGAGAAGAATGCCCTAAGAAGCATAATTGGCCAAGTGGAAATGGATGTCCAAAAGCTTACTGAAGAAAATACTTTCTTAAAAATTAGGATAGAGCAATTGGAAGCTAGTGACTTTATGAGAAATCAAGATATTGTAAAACAAATCCAAAAGAACGAAAAGTTAGAAAACAATGTGAAATATCTCATTGGAAAAAGAACTGACCTGGAAAATAGGTCCAGGAGGGAGAATTTTAAAATTATTGGACTATCTGAAAGCCATGATCAAAAAAGAGCCTAGACATCATCTTTCAAGAAATTATCAAGGAAAACTGCCCTGATATACTAGAACCAGAGGGCAAAATAGAAATTGAAATAAACCACAGATCTCCTCCTAAAAGAGATCCCCAAAGGAAAACTCCTAGGAATATTGTAGCCAAATTCCAGAGTTCCCAGGTCAAGGAGAAAATATTGCAAGCAGCCAGAAAGAAACAATTCAAGTATTGTGGAAACACAATCAGGATAACACAAGATTTAGCAGCTTCTACGTTTAAGGGACCAGAGGACATGGAATAAAATATTCTGGAGGGCAAAGGAGATGGGATTACAACCAAGAATCATCTACCCAGCAAAACTGAGTATAATCCTTCAGGGGAGAAAAATGGTCATTCAGTGAAATAGAGGACTTTCAAGCATTCTTGATGAAAAGACCAGAGCTGAATAGAAAATCTGACTTTCAAATACAGGACTCAAGTGGAATGTGAAGAAGTAAATAGGAAAGAGAAATCATAAGAGACTTATTAAGGTTGAACTGTTTACATTTCTGCATGGAAAGATGATACTTGTAACTCATGAGACCTTTGTCAGTATTAGGGTAGTTGAAGGTAAAAAAATTATATGTATGCATATATACAGACATAGATATAGATAGATTGATATAGATAGAGGGCACAGGGTGAGTTAAAGATGAAGGGGTCATATCTGGAGAATAAAATTAAGGGGTGAGAGAGGATTATACAGGGAGAAGGAGAAAGGGAGAGGTAGAACAAGGTAAATTATCTCATAAAAATAGAAAAGAAATGGCTCTTACAGTGGAGGGGAAACGGGAAGGTAAGAGGGAATGAATGAATATTATTCTCATAGGATTTGGCTTAAGGAGGGAATAACATACACACTCAATTAGGTATGGAAATCAGTCTTACCTACAGGAAAATAGGGGGAGAAGGGGACAAGAGGGCAAGGGAATGATAGAGAGGAGAGCAGATTGGGAAAGGGGGTAATCAGAAGCAAACACTTCTGAGGAGGGACTGGGTCAAAAGAAAGAGTAGAATAAATGGGTGGGAAGCAGGATAGAATTAAAGGAAATAGAGTTAGTTTTTCACAAGATGACTACTATGGAAGTGTTTTGCCTAACTGCACATGTATAACCTATATTGAGTTGCTTGCCTTTTCGATGAGGGTGGGTAGGGAGGGAGGAAGGGAGAAAATTTGGAACCCAAAGTTTTAAAAACACGTTTAAAAAAAGGTTTTCACATGCAACTGGGAAATAAGAAATACAGGAAATAGGGTACAGAAAGCTACCCTGCCCTACAGGAAAGTAGAAAGGGAAGGGGATAAGGGAAGGGGGGGAGAGATAGAAGGGAAGGGGTATTCAGAATGCATGCCATCTTGGGGGGGAGGGGCAAGATGGGGTGAAAATTTGAAACTCAAAATCTTGTTTAAGTAAATGTTGAAAACTAAAATAAATAAAATTTTAAAAAATGTACAGGGGTCAGAATCCATGGATAAAAATTCATTTCAAACTTGACTTCATCTGGGCTCATGTCAGAGTCACAAATTCTGGGGTGCCAAATAGTGATGAGGGTAATCCAGGGGGAGGAACAGAGCAAGTTAGAATCTCATTGAGTTTCACCTGGCTGAGAATTCCTTGAGGGACTGGTCCTGGATTTGGGGACATCCAGAAGGCACCAAGTCCAAAAGCTGCAGTGGATAGAGGGCTGAGCCTGGAGTCAGGAAGACCTGAGCTTAAATGCAGCCTCAGACCTTACTAGCTGTGTGACCCTGAGCAAGTCACTTCAACTCTGTTTACCTCAGTTCCTTCACCTGAAACACGGGGATGATAATAGCACCTACCTTCAGGGGTTGTGGTGAAGATGAGGTAATAACTATAAAACATGTAGCAAAGGGTCTAGCATATAGTAAGTACTATATAAATGTTAGCTAATATGATTTTTTTTATGCTAGCACAATCGTGTAAGAGCCTAGTGAGCAATAGCATGAGTTAGCCTGGATCACCTCTAACTAGAATTATTCTAATCCAGAGTGCTGGGCCTCTAGTCAGGGAGACCTGAATTCAAATCCAGCCTCAGGCACTTAGTAGTTGTGTCACACTGGACACATTACTTAAAAAAAACAAACAAACCCCTTGTTTGCCTCAGTTTCCTCATCTGTAATATGAGGATAATAATAGGATCTACCCCTGGGAACAGGACTCAAGGGTCCAGGTATGGTGGCTCCATGGTCCTTGATGGAGAAAACAGCTTTTTATAGTAATGTTTATAGATCTTTGCCCATTTTCTCCTGTTTCTTGTCCTCCCTCCATTAGTCCTTTAGTGCCCTTCTGATGACTTTCCCTAATTGGATCTCTTTCAGTTGGCTCATCATTTTTCTTCCCAGGATTTAAAAAATGACTTCATGTCTTTTATAAGTCATTTACTGTTTTTAGTTTCCATCTCTCTCCTCCTTGCAAGGAAGTCAAATGCTTGCTTATTTGAATGTTTCCTGTGCTTTTACAATCTCCTAGTTCTCGTTATAAGTTTTACAGTTCTTTAGAAAGGATTGGACTCAGCATTGATCTCATTTCTCTTATCCACTTCCCACTTTTTCATGACTAATTACTGGTTTAGATGGCTCTCAATCTAATTGCTTTAATTGTGCAGCATATGCTTTCCCCATTCTTCTTTCTTCTTTCTTTTAACTAATCCCAATCACCGCCTGACAAGTCGATGGTCTGACTGTGCCCTGCTGACTTAGGACTACTACCATATCATTCTCCAGTCTTTTCCTGCCAGCCCAAATCGCATCAATTTTATGTTCTTGTAAAATGCCCCATTCAGCACCTACCAATTTCTTCTTTGAAAAACCCGACAGTGTGGTGAAGACAGGAGGCATTGGAGGAGGCTTCAAGCCTTTGGCCTCTCTCCTTCCTAGTTCTCAAACCATTCTCACCTTTGCATTGAAGCCAACAAGAATTAGAGTTCTTTGATGAGATTCTTCCTAGACCTTCTCTATCACTTCATCGTGTTGGTAAATGAGCTGTAATTATTCTCATGAGGATTGATTTGCAAATATTGATCACCAGTTTTGCAGGATGGGATGGCCAAATAGCTCATTAATAGTGTTCGATGTAGCCTTTGGGCACCAATCCTACAATTCCCATCTTTGCCTCCCCAAGGAGCCCTTGTGAGCTATCCTTCCATTTCACTTGGCCTGCCTGTTTTCTTCTAGTTTGTTTCATTTATATTGAGCATGTCAGGAAGGATATGATTCAGCTAATCCAGAAAACAATCCCCTCATTGGTAACTGGACATGAAGCACACCTTCATAATGGAAAGAGGCAAGCTGAAGTTTGTGGATGGCCTAAGATCTTTGTGACTCTGAGAATGGTCTGCCTCCTTTTCTGCCAGTTTGTCCTGTGCAGACCAGGAAGGGGCTTCTCAGGATTGAGGGCCATTGGGTCTTCTTTGTTTCACAGATGGCCATGTCCTCTGCTCCCCAAACACCCCCTTCTTTCTATATGGTCAGCCCAATGGCTCTGGGCCTCTGCCTGCTAGCTAGACTGGTTCTCAGAATGCAGACTCGATCTTCTTGGGAATCAGTCTTCTTGCGGACATACTTAGAAGATTTCCAGAAAAAAAACCCAAAAAATAAAATGAAAAAAAAAAGATTTCCAGGTTTGTAGCACCTGCCAGAGCCAACATTCTGGTGTCCAAGTCTTAGGGAGTCCAGATCCTCCACCTTCCCACACCACGATCAGGCAACCCAATAAGAATGTGGGCAAGTAATCAAAATAGCCTCGTCAGCCAGTTTGTGGGGAAGGGAAGAGCTGGGGATGGGAGTAACTTCCCCCAGCCTGGTATCATTGCTTCTTACCAATGTTAGCCCAGGGATGGTCCGTGCCTTTGGCAAGAACTGTGAAGCCAGGGGCAGGGGAAAATACTTCCTGTGTTGGACTTCTGCCCTCTTTCAGATACTCTGATCCCTCCACAGGAGGGCACAGTCCTTTCCACAGAACTTCCCCTGGCTGCAGGAAGCATAGAAAAGTGAGACACATCCCTGGGGGAATGAAATCAGCAGGGCTAAGTCTGAGAGTGAGCAGAGGCTGGCAAGGAGAGCAGAGGACAAGGCAAGGGAGAGGTGTTATGTTTCCCTTCTTTTTAAATATTTCTTTGCTAGATATTGTTTTTACATAGCAAACATTTTCTGGTTACTTCACTGCATCAGAGCTCTCTTGTTAACAACGTAAAGCAATTAAGTAAAGCAACCTCACCAGACAATGCAGTCAACACTGATGGAACCTACCACTTTTCCAAGCTAAAACGTCAACAAAAGTCTTCTTTCTCTCCTTCTAAATCCGTTGAAAAAGAAAAGCAAAACCAAGTCCTTTTTTTTTTTTAAATGAACATGCCTAGTCAAGGAAACAATGCTGTTGTCTGCTGTCGCCTCCCTGGCTGGATCCATACCTGTGCTTCTGCATGTCGCATTCTAAGCCCGTCAACTCTCTACCATGGAGAGCAGACCTTCCCGTCATTCTCTCGGATCCTGAATGGCCATTGTATTGAGTTTCATTCTTAGAGCTGATGCTCACAGTGACACAGACTGAGGGGGAAATGAGACAAACCCTGCCTAGGTCCTGCTCCCACTGTGCTTCCCTCTGGGCTCCAGAGGTGCCTGGTGAGCATAGGACAGAGACAACTTCTCCCTCAGGCCCTTTTCTCCCCTTCTCCCTCCCTGCTCTTCTCCCTAGGTGGCCTCTTCCCCTCCCTCAAGGCTTTCCCCAGCCCTCCCCTCCTCCCTTCTTTACCCCAGATGCTCCCCTCATTCCTTCAGCTCTGCTGCCCCTGAGAGCCCCTTTCATCTTCTCCCTAGCTTTGGCCACTTGAGGTGGTATCCGGCCCCAGATACTCCTGAGCTCCTTCCAACTTCAGCTCAGGGAGCCCCTTTGGCCCAGCCCAGGGCACTGAGACCTCAGGAAGAACTCCCCCTGCCCAGGCCTACATGTGACCCCAAGACTCTCTTTTTTATGCTTCAGAAAAATTATGGAATGGCCTCAGCCTCCCAGTAAAGTGCTAACTACAGTGATTTTGTGAGTGAGGTGGGTAGGGGTGGAGCTGGGGATTTGAGGAGGGTGGGAAAGATATTTATAGGGAAGGTGATTGACTTACCGGGACTGGAATTTAAGGATGTAGTAGAGCTGTGAGGTCTTGGGGAAGAAGGATCTAGGAACTCTGTGGGTGGTGAGGATGGTTCCTGGGGGAAGCTTGGGGTCTCCCACCCTGTACAGCCCATCAGGGTCTTCCTGACTCGAGGGGAGAAGGGTCTGATGGGGTTTGGCCCCTCAGGAGAGTGGCCCTCCTTCCCCTGCTGCCTTGGGCCTGGGCCCTCTCTGCTAGGCTGGGAGACCCTTCTAGCCCTTCCCAGTAGAGCTCACTCCCCTGGTCAGGAAGAGCTCAGACCTCCCTCATTTCTGGTCATCCCCCAGGGACTTTATGGAGTCCAGGACTGGCTAGTTCTTTAGGAATCCATTAGTCAATGAGTAACATTGACCAGGCACCTACTGTGTTCTGGGCCAGGCACTGGGCATGCTAAAAAGTGTCTCTCTTTCACTCTCTGCCTCACACCACCCCTATTTCTCCAGCCCCAATGTCCCTCACTGAGCCCTTGGTGACCCCAGGTTTCTTTAGTGAGGCTCAAAAAGAGACCACCAAGGTCAGCACAGACCAGAGCTTCACTCACAGAGTGTTTCATGAAGTGATCAATCTTGACTTGTTCAATTCTAATTTTTAAGGAATTATTTTCTTCAGTGAGCTTTTGCACTTCCTTTTCCATTTGGTTGGTTCTATTTTCTTAGGGAATTATTTTCCTTGCCAAATTTTTGTATATCTTTCCCATGCTATTGACTCTTTTTGTTTCTTTTTTTTTTAATAGCAAATATATATGTATATATATTATAATTAATTTATTTTGAATTATCAATAATTACTTCCATAAGTTTCTGAGCTTCAAATTTTTCTCATTCTCCCTCTCTACCTCCCTCCCCAAGACAGCGTGCAATCTGATATAGGCTATACATATACATTCTTATTAAACATATTTCCACATTAGTGATGCTGTAAGTGAGAATTAGAGCCAATAGGAGGAACCACCAGAAAGAGGAAACAAAACAGAACAGAAGACAAAAAAGAGTGAATAGTGTGCTTTGATCTGCATTCAAACTCCATAGTTCTTTCTTTGGATGTGGATAGCATTTTCCATCATGAGGCCTTTGGAGATGTCTTAGATCCTTGTATTGCTGGGAAGGGTTAAGTCTATCAATATTAGTCATCACACAAGGTGGCTGTTACTGTGTACAACGTCCTCCTGGTTCTGATCACTTTACTCAGCACCAGACCATAGAAATCTTTCCAGGTTTTTCTGGTTAGCCTGTTCATCATTTCTTATAGTACAATAGTATTCCATATTGACTCTTTTTTTTCATGATTCTCTTGTATTACTCCCATTTCTTTTCCCAATTTTTCCTCTAATTCTCTAATTTGTAAAACCCTTTCTAAGCTCTTCCAGGAATTCTTTTTGGGCCTGAGACCAAATTAGATTGTTCTTTGAGACTTTACATGTAGCCATTTTTACACTACTGTCCTTGTTTAAGTTAATGCCTTGATCCTCCCTATCACCTTAGTAACTTTCCATAGTTAAGCACTTCCTTTTTGCTCACCTTTTCTGCCTTTTTTGTGATTTGGTATTTTTAAGTGAGAGTTGAGCTCTGGTAGTGCACTGTCTCAAGCTTCAGTGCAGGGGCTCTGGATCTTGCTGCTGGATTTCCCTGGGCTTCAGGGCATAGCTCCTTGCTTCCTCTGGAGGGCAGGCCTGTCCTGGTGGGTAAAGGCTCCTTGTTGGTGTGAGGTTTAGCTGCTGTACTGCCCCAGGGGAGGGGCCCTGCTGCTGCTGGCTTGCTATGGAAACAGGGTATCCCTGCTGGCAGGCCACAGAAGCAAGGTCTCTCTGCTGGCCAGTTCTGTGGTGGGGAGTCACTGCTGGTCAGCAATGGGGTCAAGGCCTTCCTGGTGGTTTGTGCTGGGGGTGGAGTCCCTGGGATGGGGCCTTGCAGAGCTGCACAGACTGCTTACTTGCTCAGGGGTCTTCTGGATTGCAGGGGGGGGCGCTCCATGGTGGATTGTCCCACACTTGGAGCCCTGCTGCAGGCCCCCTGCTGTGAGGCTGGCTGTTGCTGCTGCCCTTGGACCTCACTGTCCTTCCAGTCCAGTGAGGCAGATCTTTCCTGGGGGCCTACTAAGCTGCTTCCCTGCTCCCAGACCAGGTCTGAGGCAGTTTTCTAGTTGTTTGGAGGGGAATTTGGGAGGCATTCAGAGGATTCCTTTCTCAGTCTTCCAGCTTGGTACCAGAATAGCCTTCAAAGCTGGGGAGAGGCCAAAACAGGCTTTTAGGGGGGCAGCAGAGCTCAGGGAATGAGAGGGGAGAACATGGAGGGAGGGATGGAGCAGATGAGGGCTTGGGGAGGAGGAAGGAGACTTAGAGGGGGAGGTACAGAGAGGGGGAAGGGGCTGCCCAGGCAGAAGAGCAGGGAGGGAGGAGGGGAGGAAGGGGCCTGAGGGAGAAGTTGTCTCTGTCCTGTGCTTACCAGGCACCTCTGGAGCCCAGAGGGGAGGGCACAGTGGGAGCAGGACGTGGGGGTTTTTGTCTCACTTCCCCATCAGTCTGTGTCACTGTGTGCATTAGCACTACCATCCCAGTCCTGACAGTAATAATCAGCCTCATCCTCAGCCTGGAGCCCAGAGATGCTCAGGGTGGCTGTGTTCCCTGAGCTGGAGCCAGAGAATCTGTCAGGGATCCCTGAGGGCCTGTTACTAGTATTGTAAATCACCAACTTAGGGGTCTGGCCAGCTTTCTGCTGGTACCACTGTACATATCCATTACTAATTACATCCCCAGTACAGGAGATGGAGGCCGTCTCTCCCAGGCCTTTGGACACTGAAGGTGGCTGAGTCAGCACATTGGAGGCCCCAGAACCTGCAAGGAGAGGAAAGAAGACATTGGTCAGAGGCAGGGGCCTCTCTCCCCAAGGGGATGCTGGCCCCTCAGGCAGCTTCAGGTTTGCTCAGGGCAGGCCTGGGCCTGGACTGAGACAATGTGAGGCCTGAGCCAGAGGGAGGAGTCCCTGGGAAGCCTCACCTGTGTAGACAGTCAGGAGTGAGAATAGCAGAGAGATCCAGGCCATGGCCAAGGTTCCTCCCATAGCTCAGGGTCCTGAGGCTCCCGGCAGGGGCTGGGCTCCCCCAGGGCTCTCTTAAGACCAGCCCAGGCCCTGCAGGGAGAAGGGCTCCCACATGCAAATCTGCTCCTGCTCTGGATCCCTGAAGGAGGGTCCTCAGGGGAGGCCTGACTGTGGGCTCCTGGGGCAGAGGGGGCAGGTCCTGCTTCTGGCAGGGGATGGTCATCATGGCCCTGAGGTCATTTCCTACTCTGATATTCTGGGATTCTGGGAGTCAGGTTCATTCCTCCCCAGGTCTGTGTCTGATGCTCCAGGACCTTATCAATGTAACTGAACTGCTTTCTCCTCCTGGACCTTCCCTGTGCACTGGGGCTTTCTCACCATGGACCATTCGTCCTCCCATTGGTGAGTTCCCCCAGGACCTGCTTGGGGACAGCCAGGCTTTATTCCCCTCCAGCTGTGCCTGTGACTCTGGAGGCTTCAGAAACACCCTGGGATGGTGACTTCTCTCCCCCATCACAACCCCTGTCATGGGGTGTCTTCCCCTCTTAGAATGTAAGCTCCGTGAGGGCAGGGACTCACTGTGTATTTCCACTGAAACCCCTATACTTAGCACAAGTCTCTTACACAAGAATTGATTAATAAATGCTTGTTTCCTTGCCCTACCCCCAATCCAGAGCTGTGTCATGACCATGCAAAAACACAATTATAACAGAAAGTGGGCCCAACCTCTGCCCCCAAATCCCCGGGGCTCCTGCTGCTCAGGCCTTCCAAGAGGTTGCAGAGGAAGAAAGCCAGGCACACCCTCACTGTGGGCCACACTTCCCCATTGGTGAAATGAGGGGGATTGGACCAGGGATCTCTAAGTTCCCTCCCAGCTCTGGCCTTCAGTGATCCAGTCCAAAGGGACTGTTTTCATCTGGTAATCCAAGCAGATTCTCTGGACACTGAGGCCCTTAGGGTGCTGTTCAAACTCTGGGGCCTAAGGGAATTCTGAACTGTCCCATACAAAGGGAGGGTGTTGGGAGGGGTCTCTCCATCTGTCCCCAGCTCACTGGGAGGGGCTGGGAAGGCAGCATCAGCTAAACCTCCCCTAGGCCACAGAACAGGAGACCAGGAGCTCAGGGGCCAAGAGCCTCAGGGCACATTTCCAACCCAGGTCAGCCCCAAACTCAATACAACGTCTCCCTCTCCTGGCCGCAGGGCCAATGGCGGCCCTAGGAAAGGTCAGGAGGAAGGTCCCCTTTTTTATTGTGGTCCCCCTTTGGAATGGAAGCTTTCTGAAAACTGGGACTGTCTTCCTTTTCACTTCCATTTATATTCCCAGCTGTTAGCACAGTGGAAGGAGGAAAATGACCCTTATCTTCATCAGTGTTTAGAGAGACTCTTCCTGGTAGCAAAATACTGAATTAGAGACTCATTTCTTAGGTACATGGAGAAGGTTAAAATTTATAAGAATAAGATTCATTCTTAACTGAAAAAAATGGTCATAAAATAGGAATTTCTGGTTTTCAGAGGAAGAAATCCACATGATTCTCAATCTTCTCAATGTCAGCCTGAGGTATGTAAGAACAGTTCTCTGTGGCTGATAATTAGAAAATGTCATTGCCCTCACCAGCGCCTCCTTAAGCAGCTGCTTCTGTGTCTGTTTCTGTCTAATGTTCTGCCCTTTTTGTCTGAAAGAACTCTTTCTGGGGAGCCCTACAGATGTTATTTCATTTTATGTTCACAACCACTGTGACAGGTAAATGCTATTATTATCCACATTTGACAGATGAGGAAACTGAGGCCCATGGAGATTAAGTGACTTGGCCAGGGTCACACAAAGAGAGTCTGAAGCCATATTCAAAATCGTGTCTTCCTGACTTCAATTCGAGGCTCTGTGTACTGCACCTATCAGATGTTCCCTTCTCCTTTCTCCCTCCTCCTTAGCAGTTACTCTTTGCCAGGCTCTGTGCTAAGCACTTCACAATCATCATCTCATCCAATTCCCACAATAACCCTGGGAGGTAGGTAGTATTATTAAGTCCATATGAAGTATGAGGAAACTGAGGCAGAGAGAGGTTAGGTGACTTGCCCAGGGTCCCACAGCTTGTAAGTGCCTGGGTCAGGATTTGAACTTGGGTCTTCCTGAATCCAGGCCCAAATCTCTACCCACTATACTACCTAGGGTTCTAAATATTTTGCTACTTAGAAGATATTTTTAAAAATGACATTTCTTCACAAGGCATGATTTAAAATTACAGTCACTCCTTGAAAGAGCTTCCTTTTTGCCGTCCTAAAGAAATTGAAACAAAAACTAGGAAAAAGAGACCCATGACCCCCAGAGTAAGAGCATATTTAGATGGAGCAGGGAAAGAGACTCAGCAGAGGAAAGGGGGAAGAAAAAGAGTCTCAGCTGTCAGACTACTGGCTACTGCTTCAACGGAGAAGAGGACTGATAAGGATTTTTCATCTTTGACCTTCAGTGATCAAATCAAGAAGATCTCAGAACTCTGAGACCTCAGATTCCCCAGATACCGAGACCCTTAGGGAGCCAGCTGTAGGACAAGGTTTAAGAAAATGAAATAATGTCCCCAATGGTCATTTCCAGCCCAGCTCAGCCCAAACTCATTCCAACATCTCCCTCTGGTGGCCACAGGGCCAATGGCAGCCCCAGGGAAGGTCTGGAGAACTCAGGCTGAAGGCTTTTCCACCCTTGAGTCATGACTGAATGCCCATTCCCCCATCTCTGCCCAGTTCTCTCATTGGTCTTTTTCTCTCCCCACTTTCTATTCTTTTCTCCTCATCCCTTTCTTCCTATATAACATGGGACCAATGTCTTCTAGGCACTTTCCCTGTCTGAGGCTGAGCCCCTCAGGGCCTCATTACTGGGCTTTCTTCCTCTGTTAAATGGGTCAGTGTCTGTAGGAAGATGAAGGCATCTTTCTGGCCCATTTAGTAGGCATCTCCTTACTGGAGGGGAAGAAATTATTGATTTTAGGAGAACCAAGGCATCAAGTCCTGAGAAAGTTTGGAAAGAGGGAAATGGTTTCCTTGGAAGACTTGTTGAGAGATTGGAACAACTTCAGAGAATTTGGAGAGGATTATTCAGTTTGGTCAGAGAGGAGAGCACATGGAAGTGGGGGCAGAAGCCAGACTCTTCAGGGTCAGGAGAGCTGGGATCAGGGACAGTGCCAGGCTTAGCTGAGGCTCAGGGCTGACCCCAAGATGTCCAAGACTGAGGGATCTCCAGTCACAGTCATGTCCTCAGACACACCTGACCTCTGGTCTCCCTTTGTCCCTGTACCAGGGGAGGGAGCCCTTCTTTCCACAGTCTGGTACACACTCTTGGGGGAGCCATCTGCCTCAGATGTCACCTTCTTCAGGCTGAAAGGTAAGGCCTCCAATGGCTTCAAACATCCACTCAGAGCTGGGGCCTTCTTCTGATGATTCAGGATTCCATACCCACAAGTTGGCAGCTGTGGGAGTAGTTAGACCTGCTAGTGGCCCTTAGGAGACATATGGGTTAACACCTGGGAAAAACTCCTTGTATCAGAGTTTCTTTTTTTTTTTTTAAAGTCAGTTGAATTTTTTAAAATTAAAGACCCAAGGAGCAACAAGCTTATTTTTGTTACAGTACATTACCTTATTCGTGGCTCTTAGTAAAGTAGACAGCAGGCAGTCATATATTTATGCCAGTGCTGAAATCTTACTATAACCAACTAAGAAATCAAGGCTACCTCCACTTACATTGAGATTGTAATAAATACATATTTTTTACATGCAACAGTTCCTTTGGTTGGCAGGTTTGATCATTCAGTAGAATGACTGGATTCACTATGGGGAAAAGTAGTAAAGTACTTGGTATAAACTTTTGAGTATATCGCTGATCGCACAAATAGTTTGTGCATAAAACTGGGGAGGGAGGGGTGAGGGCGGCCATGTGTCAGTCCTAGTAAGAATTTCAGACTGTAGCTTTGTACCTACCAGTTACCTTCATAATGCCTCTGACACAAAAATTAGTATCAGAACCAAAGTGGGATAGATTTGTGTTTTCAAACTCCAAACAGCTTCATCTTCTCATGATCCTATTTCTGGTATAATTAATAAAACTGGTACATGTGGGTAAATGAAGTAAAACTTGAAGAGCTGTCAGTTAACTGAACTTCAGAGTCTACATCATATTTCCCATAAGGCCTCATTTTAGAACCACGATAAATCTTACACAATGACAATGTTTAATAACCTGTGGCCATCACCACCCCATAAACAGCCTCAAAACTTGGTCTTTCATATTATAAAACATATGGGCAAAGGAAGAGATCAAAAGAAAAGGACAGGCCAACTATTGTTAACAGGAAAAACTGAAGAAGTTGGAGTTACGTGGCCTGTCCCTTAATGTCTGTGTCACCAGCCCTGTGATGCCATTAAAGTCTGTATTCACTTGATAATCTTATGAATTGATTACTCTGTAGTAGGCTACTTTTGTCCCATTCAGTTGGGTGCACTAATGAGAACTTTTATACTATTTCTACTAGATAATGTTGAATTTCTGAAGCAGTATTTTCCTATTAAAGACAAACTTGTTTCCATTCTGGATCCAGGGGTGAACATTCTAATAGTCTGTAGGTGTCTTGGTGGAATTAGTGTTATCAGAACATAATCAAGTAATTGCATAGGGGGGTTATTTTAAATAAGATACTTGCAGTACTAAAGTACTAATTCACCTTAGAGAGAGGCATAATAAATAAAGTGGCTGAGAGCTCTCTCAGATAGGTCCTAAATTCAGAAGACATTCTACTAGGAAAGCTGCCGTGATAAGGGAATCAGTGATAAAAATTCCTCTTTGCCAAAAAGAAAAGTCTTTCTTTTTATACGACGGTTTGGGCCAGAGTGGCATATTGTGCAGAAGAACTGGCCCTTTCCGAGGATGAGGATGAGTGGCTAGAGATCTCTCTTTGTAGTTCCTCCACCTTCTTTTGAAGCTCTGCTCCTTTAGCAAGAAGTTCTTTATATCGCTTATGGTTAGGCTCCTGTGGCTTCATCCGTGGGTTCCATCTGATGTAATACCCCACCCAAAGCTCTAGGTGGCA